GAAGATGCAGAGAAGATCCAAAAGAATCACTTTTCTGTCAACTTCTCTGTGTGCAGCAGATTGCGTCTGGTTTGTGGTTTGAACATCTTTGGAATAGATCATTGATTTCCCATTTCAATCTGGGAATCCCAACGGACGCGGTTTTGGGTTGAACCACCAACCAGCAGTGGATGAAGACTATCCTAGTTTCGCGCAGGTCGACTCCCGCGCTTTTTCCCCAGTTCCTCTCTGAGTGCTGAGTTGAAAGCCAGCTCTCAAGCTGTCTCAGCCCAGGGAATTTGACCCTCGATTGAGGAGAAAGTGTCAGATACCGCAGTGTTTTGTGCATTAGATGTCGGACAGCAAGACCTTGCTGTTGCGGCAGTGGTTGTCCGGACTCTTCACCTGCTGAAAACGCCAGTCGATTCCTGCTTTTGACGTGTGAACGTCTGAAAACCGTGGCCAGGCTGAAAACCTGGGCATCCAAACCAAGTAGTCAGGCACAGATCTCATTGCTGGGTCTGGTTTTGAGCCACGGGCATTGGGATTCAGGCTTGTACCGGAAAAAACTTGGCCCTTGAAGAGCTCCACCTGTGCCGGCTTCGCTCGATTGTCGCCGAGCAGAGCACTCTGCACATGAGGGAGGCTTCAAAACGGGGTGACAGGGGATGCACGCGAACTCACCAAACAAGAAGCAACTGAACAGTCCAGGTTCTTTAATGGATTATTTGGCGGGACCCATGAGTGCCTCCCATCACTCTGATAACCCCCTCTCCTCTCCTTTTCTGTTTTGCAGAACGTGATGGTTTGTACAGCTTTTCGGGCATCAATGAAAAGGCGGATGGTGCAGATGGCGCTGATCGGTTGTGGCCATTTGTGGGGGGGGTGAGACACCAGGGGCTGGACACCTCAACTTTCCGACCTCCCCGGAGGTCCTCGCTGTTTCCCGTTGCATGTGTTTTCTTGATGAAGTGCTTGCCGCGAAGCGAACGATGCACCGTGAGTTCACCGTCCGCCTCGCTGGCGCCCCTTTTTCACTTCTACAGACCGGTCGACGTTCGCTATACACATCGAGCAGCGTCAAGCAGCGTTAGAACACCTCGCGGTCAGCTAGTATAGCTTCTTGCTACGTTCGTAGCGATGGCCTCCAACCTAGTAGCTTCTTGCTACTAGGAGCTTCTTGTTAGTAGCAGTAAGGCCAGGAGCGCCCCGATCATAGCGTCCGATCGCTCCTGTGTTCCGTTCGTAACTTTCTTCGCGCGGCTCCAGGAGCTCCAGGAAGAGGGTGAATCTGATGTCCAGCTTTCACATCAGATGGCCACACTGGCGCTTCTGGCACGAGGCCGCGTTTTTTTTTTTTTTGTATCGTTTTCATGCCCGTGCACTTGGGTGAGAAAGAGCGGTTGGCGCGGGATAACGCCGGGCTTCGATTTTGGGAAGCTGCCGAAGCACCGGAGCGGAACTGGGAGCTTGCCGGGATGTCAAGAAGTATACCTGTGACTCCAACTAAAAAGTAGCTTGGAAAATGGGTACCCGTTTGCAAAGGGTCAACATGTTCTAGGGTACTTGAAGTCAGGTCCATATCCACGAGTTTTAAGCTAAGGATGTTGCGCAGCTGGCGGAAACATGACCAGTCAGTGCGCAGACCAGAACCAGCGCTTCAGAACCCAGAGGGAGGCCCGACCTTTTCGAGTTCGCCGGTTATGGCTTTCCTGTGGTGAAGTGGCAGTGAGTCAAAGTTCCGAGGTATCCTGGTTGACCACTGAACACGAACAGAATAGATTCTCAGGGAGGTCAACCTACCAGACTTTGACTGCCAAGTGACCACCCCAGAGAACCGCGTCGAGCCTCCAAAGTATCAAACATGGAACATCACTGGACATGAAACAGGTACCAGGTACCCCTCCAGGTACCCTGCCAGGTACCCAACGACCCCCGGCCCACGACCACCTTTCGAACGCCTCCATGGCCGGACCACGGTCGAAGGATGATGCCTGGAGTTGACCTGTTCGTTCCTCGGAAAATGGGTACACCACAAGTTACACAGGGGTAAGATGTTTCCTTAAGTGAATGGATGTGACCAGGGGCCACCCCTCTTCCTCTCCTCCGTCTCAGATGCGTTTGGCACATCGACATGGAACTGCTGGCAGTCGTACCTGCTTTTTTTGTTATAATGAGGGTCATGTCCCACTCTCATCCATTTTCTAAGGTACAACTGAAGTCAGGTCCAAGGTGTCTTGACCGCGGCCAGGGGGTTCCATTGCCGCTGGCTGGCCACCGGTACCCTCGGATGCGGCCAACCGCTCTGCGCTGGCCAAAGGGCAGCTGCTCGCCGAGCAGCAGATGGTTTTCTCAGACCAAACACCATTGAACCAGTCATTGAACCAGAACATTCTTTGACCACGTCCTTTTGGGTGAAAGCCTGACCGAAATGGCAGGCTTGAGGTTGGTCGAAGCTGCCATACAGACCTCATACGTTCGCACCCCACACGGTATGCACCGATGCTGGGGGACGCCACGGTATGTCCTTCGACCCCACCGCCGCTTCCGGCGACCGAGGAACCTCTACGATGCCATTGGCCGCGAGAGCCCGCCGGGCCGCCCGGGCGGAGGAGGGAGCGAAGTGGACGAACTCTCAGTAGGGGCTCCTGGCCTTACTGCTAAGAGCGATCGGACGCTACTAGGGGCTCCTGGCATCGCTACGAACGGAGCGATCGGACGCTACTACCGGAACAACTCCAAGTACCTGTGTGAATCCCAGGCAGTCACTAGGTGCTCGGAACCAGGGGTGTGCTCGTTCGGTCTACGGTATGTCTACGGCTGAAGTCTTTGGAAACACTGGTTAAGTATTCTTAAGTAATAAAGTGGTAGCTGGATCTACTGGGGTATACACTAATAGAAGCTGAGTGACCGCCGGTGATCAACTCTCCCAAATAAGGCGTTTTTCATCCTTTTCCTATCAACGCGGGGTTTTATGATGTTTTATATTCATACCGGGAACTTCAAACGGGTGAGGAAAAGCAACACCCTATGCTACTTATATGCATCCACCTCTTGGATTGTTACCATGGTATAGTTCGCTTGTGACATCTTTGAGACATGTAAATCGTTGGCCCAGAGAGTGGGAGATCCACCCTCACCTCCCATCCATTTCTTTCCTGGCAGTGGGGAGCTGGCAGGAGAGTTTTGACCGGGCACGACCGGGTTCCGGGCACCCTTTTCTGGATGACGGTGCCGTGGCCGGTGGCGACGCGACTGGCTCGATCAGGTTGAAGATGTGGCTCGATCAGGTCGACCAGATCTTCCACCAGATCCTCAACGAGGCGACGATCTTCTCGACGCGTGGCCGGCTGCCGGGTTCGGTGAGGTGAAAAGGGCACGAAATCGGTGCATGGTGGGGAGCGGGGATTCATGTTTCTCCTGCTGTGGGTGAAGACATGTAATGGATTTTTAATGGGTTGATGTTGTGATGGCAGAGCCTTGACATGTTCTTTGGACTCTTTTTTCTTTCAGTTTTCATGACCCTTTTGCAAGGGCATATGAACATGTACTGCATTATAGCGCGGTGTTGCTTCGCTTCGCCTGTGAGGAGATCCGAGGTACCCCAAACAGGTGGAGAACGGACAGAACTAGAACTAGAACCCCGGGTTTTCCCACAAGAAAGAGCAACTTGACCTGGCCGTTGGTACCCCAATGGACCATCTCAAAAATCTCCAAGCACATCAAAAGAACCGATCCAAACATCCCTAGCACCCAGAACCACGGACAGGAACTGGGTGGTTCTTGGAGGGACAACACGAAGTAATAACGCCTGTTGCGATTCGCGTCAAAGTAGAAACCCACTTAGAACTCGGGTGCTGAACAGGCTCAAAACATCACAAACTTCTGCCCTTCAATCCACCCCAAAAACGCTTTTCTCGGAGGAACGGAGTGCTCACTGCCTTGGCCTCTGTCCGTCCGAGCGGCCGCTCCTCGCGAGGCTCCTCGCAGTGAAGCCTTCGTCGTGCCGGAGACCTGGGCGCCCAAGATGGAGCTTCAGGTCATGCTGGGGGCCCCGGTGGTTCTCGAGGGTGGTGAAGGGGATTCCGGGGGTGAAGGGGGTGAGGTGAGACACGGGGGTTGGGTGAAGGGAGGTGAAGGGGGTGAAGGGTTGTAGGCGGGAGATTTGTGGAAGAATGGGAGTTCTCACGGGGTTTTCACGAAAACAAAACAAGAACCCTAGACAGAAGTCCAGTTCGTATATATAAATATGTACCCCAAAGGAAACGACACTCCTAGACTCGGGTCCCCGAGGCAGACCCGCGTCATACTCCCAGGGAGAAGGATTCAGCAGGATCCAGCAGGCGCTGCTCGACCATGGTCGAACCTTTCTGCATTTCGCATGGTCCAAATCCGATGAAGGTTGGGGCCCTGCTGGTAGGGAATCCACAAGGAATCTTGGGGAGTTTCTGAGTTGCTCCGGACCCGGATCTTCAGGGTTTCCAACCCACAGCGCGACGGGCTGTGTGTGTTTGGCACTTCATCGGATTCTTCGTGTTGATGAGGAAGCCTCGAGACTAGATCTCCCAGCTGGGGCCGAGTAGGCCCCTGGGCCCCTAAAGGGGAGAAAGCATCGAGATGATGCAAACCCCAATCGCCATGTATATATAGATGGATGTTTTCCAAACAACCACGTGTTTTACGTGAAGGATCTCTAGAAATCCATCTTGGAACAACCGGAACTGTTTCTGGTTGGAACTGGGTTTCCAGGTATCGTAGGTCTTTGGCTGGCACCGGTGGCACCGATATATCGGGGAGCACAGTCAGGAGGTCGCTAGCTGCTGGAGTCGACGCCCACCCGACCGATGGACTTCCCCAAACAGGCAGTTCGTCAGCCGGGTTTGGTCCAAAGAGTTCGGTCATGCAGCTGTTGGTGGAAGTTTGGTCCCTGGAAGTTCACAAAAACACTCAGCTCTCTGAAGCAGTTGGGTCCAGGGTCAGGCCTTCCGAACTTCGCCGGTTTTGGGGCGCTCTTTCGGTTCAGAGTGGGGCGCTGAAAGGGGCGAGGTCGAGGCCGGACATGGGGAGGAATGGGGTGACACCTTTGGGTGCTTGGAGTTCTCGAGGCATTTTGCGGCGGATGGTCCAAGCCGAGGATGGTTCCCCCCAAGCAAGAAGGCTTTGGGAGACTTGGATGGTGTTCTGGAACTGTACTGCATCCCACCAGCAATAGGAAGCCGCGCCACCAGCATGACAACATTGACCAAGACCCTCAGGGCCACTGGTCCGTGGAATATCCATTAACCGGTTCGTACCCGTCGTAAAACCACGGTTGTTCGGGATGACCCGGCGAGTAGATCAATGGTGGGCCGCCAGTCCAGTGTTTTTCACACCTCGCCGAAGCAAGGACCCTCAGGCGGTGAAGTTTGGCAGTCCAAGCCCCGAAAAGCAGGCTCAAGAAGCGCAAGAAGTGGTGGTCCAATGATGCATTGGATAGAAACATGCAAACACGTTGAACTTGAGCGCAACAAAGAAATGGCTGCACATGGTTTCAGAACCAGACCCGACCTTTGATAGGCTTTGATCTTTAAGGGGTATGGGCCCATCCAGAGAACAGAGTACCAGCTCATTTTGGAGGCTTTTCAAGTGTTGCTTCAGGAAGAAACTGCGGCTTCTCCACTAGTAGCAAGAAGCTACTAATACTAGGTGGAGGCATCGCTCTTAGTTTGGAGGCCATCGCAATTAGGTTGGAGGCCATCGCTCTTAGGTTGGAGGCCATCGCTCTTAGGTTGGAGGCCATCGCTCTAATAGCAATTAGGAAGAGGATTTGTCCACTGTCCTTCTCCAGGAGCGATGGTGAAGACACACTGCTTTTCGGCGGCTTGGCCAGATCAGATGGGTGCTACTAGTAGCTTCTTGTTACTAGTAGCGTCCTTGCTACTAGTAGTAAGGTGCCTGGCTACTAGTAGCTTCATGTTACTATAGTAGTAAGGTGCCTTGTTACTAAGAGCCACGAACCAAGTCCTTGCCGCCATTCATTTGTAGGATGCACTGACCCACCCCCCAATCAACGGGGGTCAGTCGGGTTTAACATGATTTAACGGTTGTGGGGTTCATTCATACAGTTGGCACCCAAGTCAATCTAGCCACAACTGTAACCAACATTAACCAACCAATCCAAAGCATTCATACTTTTCTCTAGGCTCGCACCCTGGGGCTATGCTTTTTGTGTGCGGTTGGAGAACTCGAGCACGCGTTTGCATGAGACTATACAACTTTATGGCGCCCCTTCGAGTGAAGGAAAGATGCCTGGCACAGTCAAGATTGTTGGACACATTGAAACCTTGGGATTTAAAGTTTGAAGTCCTCGAATCCCCAACCCTTGAAGTGTGGATTGTTGGGTGCTCGAAAAAGGCTTTCGATTGAAACTTGGAGATGAAATACTGAAGACACCTTCCATTCAGGGGTCCTTGGAAAAGCAAACTCCCTCTCCATAGAATCTTCTATCAGGGGTCTTGTGAAAGTATAGCCTCTTCCATCAAAGACCTCTGATCTTTGGAAACACAAGAGTGATTTTTGAAGAGCCAACTTTGACCTGAGAATTGAATTGAGAGTTAGAAACCAACATAAATAGTTATCCAACATCTCATGGGAAGGTTAGACACTGAAGAGCATAGTTCTCCAACATCCGATGCCGAAAGTCAACTCTTTCGTCTCGGGGTCGAAGGAAACACTGGGATTTCCTGAAGAAAATCGAATTCTTCGACTTCTTCTCATGAATCTTTAAGGATTTCTTCGCTCCAGGTGAACCTTCCCGAACCCCGAAGCTTCACGAAGCTGGATGAAAAACCATGCTGGTATGGTGTGGTCGAATCCGATCCCGATGGATGTAAGGTTTCGATGGCCCGGTTTCAGAGGTTCGATGGGGCAGATAGGGCGTCCACGACTAAACCACTAGACAGACCCACATTCGTGCCATCATACCTCTGATCTGAAGCCATTCAAAATGCTCTTGCGAAGACAAGTCCTTATCCTCCGGCTTTCTCACTGCTTGCATGTGCTTACCAGGAGTTCCAGATTCCATGTCGGGGTGGTTTTTGGTCCCATCCAGAGGGCGTGGATGGGCACCTTGATCTTCCGTTCGTTCACCGGCACAGAAAAACCCTACAAGTCCTGGTCGTCACCTGGCTCCGACCAAGATCCGTCCTGCTCTCGCTGGAGAGCTGCGTCCGGCTCGCGCTTCGTCCAGCTCCTCTCTCCTCCCTGGGTGGTGTTTCATGGGAGAATCCCTAGAGGTCGAGTAGGGGCTTCTGGTGACGGCCGAAAAGAAGAAGGGGGTTCTCACCAAGGGGATTAGTGAGAACCCCCCAAGACCTGGAAGATTGGAAGATGATAGTGCAGATAGACCCCCCCCCAGACCGCGACTGTGTCCAGACTCCGACTCCGTAGCTTGTTCACGTCGGCAGACCGCGAAAACGCCTTCAGCTCTTCAGGTGCAGTACGCGAAGTCGAGCATGTCCACCTGTCGCGCGACTGGGTGTGAACGCGATGGATTCACGGCGTGCCGTCCGGAGCGAGCGATTGCTCGCGGGGTGAGGCGGCGGTCTGGAAGCCTTAAGCCATCCAGTGGAGAAGCTGTACATGAAGCTGTCAAACCTTTGAAAGAGGGGATTGGTTTCCCGACCCTGAACAGGTGGTGAGAAGAAGGTTATAGACACCCTCGATTTTGTGCGGCAACTGAGGGATTCAGCTGAATGACTGATGGGTTTCAGTAAGTCTGAAACAGATGGGTGTGGGATGGTATGGATCCAAACTGGTCACACTTTAGTCAACGGCATTCAAACTGGGCTGGACGATCCAGTTTGTGGTTTACTTGGCCGCGCTCGAACGACCCCACACATCTTGGAAAGGCGAAACACTTTATTAGATTCATGTTGATTCTGTGTGTGGTTGTTTTTACATGTATGAATCTGAACAGACACCCGCTGATCCAAATGTGTTGACCTGTGTGGCACTTGCAGTGGCTTGATCCGTCGATCTGTTCAGCATGTGATGTCATGAGACCCAAGCTACTTGTTGTTGGATCTTGTTCTTCTTTTGATATTTTTTGTTGTGGCTGCAGTTGTGGCTTGATTATGCTTGATTCTTTTCAGAGAGATTTTTGTCTTGCCTTGCTTTTGTGGTTTCCTTTACCTTTCTGCATCGTGGCAGCGTGGGTTCCCCCCTTCCTTTTGAGACCATTGCTCCACGCTCTTTGGGATGTGCGAATGTGGGAGATGCACGAACTTCTTTGGCCGAATGACCCATGACCCCCAAATCAGATGGCTAATTAGAAGTGAAGATGTTTTGGGCCACTGCATCTATGAACATTCTATGACCTGCTAGGTTCGGTCGGACCTTCAACCTGGAGAAACTCGCGATTTTGTTGCCAGCCACCAGCTAGCGAAAGTGGCTACATCTCACAGGTCTGCATGGCCAAGATCGTGAAAGACTCCTTGCGAGTCGGCTTCGGGCCTTAGTCGGCTGAAGGGCACCAGAAGCGTTGTCCGGACCGCAGCATGAAGCTGTCCGGACCGTTCCAGTGGGGTGTTCTGGCGGCTGGAGTGGACATGGTGAAGTGACATGGCATGGGACCGATGATGTGGCGCCAGATAGCGCAATAGGTGGCTTTCCACTTCAGTTCCGGGCAGAGTAATTAGTACGAGAACTACGTGTATTCTACTAGTTGGGGGCCACCAGAGGGTTTGTGATTCGTCTTCGACCTCCCAAAAGCCTTGTTGAGTGTGATTGACACTCAGAGTTTCTCAGAGATTCTGAGGGCCAGAGTCATTCTATCACTGCAGATGATATATCCATGCCTTGCCATCCCTTTTACAAAGGCGAAAGAGGTCCTGCATGTGCCTGCACCGGTCTAGTTGACTGACCGATAGTGAACACTCAGGGTGAAATCCACGCGGAAAGAAGATCGCCGCTCGAAGATCAAGAGATGGGACGTCCAGAAGTTGTGGAACTTGGGCATCAGCGATGTGTGCAAGTGCACAGTGAGCACCTGTCTTGCCCTGCTCATTTGGGGGAACCTGACTTGAACCTCGCATGACACCCGAATTATACCATGAACCTCTTAAGGGCAGTGATTTGCAACACGGACATTTTGCCGACATGCCCCCCCAGCTCAGACTTGAAGTTGTTGGTTTTACCACTTCATACCCTACAGGTCAAAGACTTGATTTTGGAGTCGATCATACAAGAACACCTCTACTCAATGAGGCTTGCAGGACCAGGATTGGATCTGGGTCAGACTGGGCACCTCTAAAGATACCTTTCTCCATCCTTTGTCCCTGTTCGCCTGGCAAGGGACGGAACCAGGACCAGCCTCCTTCGCCCCGAGGTCACAGCCAGTTGGAGGCTGAAAATGACCTGAGCCGAAAGCCGGACCGGTCCCACCTTCCGGTGGGAACCGGAGCGCGTGCGAGCTTGGACGAGTGAGACTCTACCAAAGACCTTAGTGCAACTGACCTATTTACACTCAGCTGAAAATAGGAAGTGGAAAGTGGATGGCATGGCCCCACTGGGATGACCAGTTTTCCTTGGGAAGCAGGTGGTTTTCCACTTCATTGATGATTTCAGGGAGTCTAATGTGTTTGTTCTGATTGGCCAAGTGCTTTCGGAGAGACGAACCGGCCTGAGGGTCGAACCCTCATGAGGGTCGAACTATCCAGTTGGAGTCCATATTGGTACCTCAATTTCAGGGGCTTCCTGGAGTCGACCTGCTTGTACCCGGGACATTGGCTACATAGAACCCCATGATGTTCGAGTACGAACTGGTGCGTGCAAGAATGAGGAACCTCAGAGCAAAACCGTTTTGACTCATTCTACCCCCACCAGTCAATCCATCCACCACTACCAGGCCCGGGTAACATGAGTCATGACATGTCATGACTGGACTCTCCGGGAACAGTCCGATTTTACAGCTCCCCAAAGCTCCCGTGGACCTGACAACAGGACATGGACGAGCGCATGATGGCCATCGCAGGCGGAGCTTCGGGTGTGCCTCCCGGCTCCCTGTCCCGAGTGAACACCTGCCTGAAGTGAGTTCTGCTTGTGGGCCTGTGGGAGGGTGAAGATCCACCAGACTGTTCAGGGAAAAGGTTGAAAAGGTTCTTTTCTCATGACCCACCATCATATCCCTTTCCATGTACCTTAGAAAATGGGACATGACCCCCCAAAAAAATCTAGGTGACTTGTGACAACCTGACCTATAGGTATACTTTGAGATAAATTGAGACTCCAGGTATCCCAACCAAGACCAAGACTCAGCACAAGACCAAGTCGGAGCTGAAGGGTCAATCTTCTTCTCTTGAGCACGGAGCTCACGGATGGTCGACGTGACCACAGTTCCAACATTGATCCGCGAGAATGGGATGATATTTTTCAGTAGCCGCAGTGTTGAGCATCTACCCCCAAAACAATTACAAACGCTTCAGGTTAGTGACCGGTCTCTTGTTCTTGGACCCTCAACTGACCGAAATCGGTTTCCACCCGCTTCAACCGACTCAACCAAGTCGGACCATCTTCCTTGACGGTTCAGAGGCGCCGCCCGCTGGCATCACTTCGAGTGCTTTCCGCGGATGAAGGGCGCCAAGTGGATGGCTGCGAACCTGCCGGACTCCCCCACCAAGCCCGTCCGCGCGGTGCGCGCGGTCCGCGCGGTGCGCACGGTGTTTGGCAGCCCGGTGAGGGGGCGGGGGAATGTGTGTGGCAGCGTAGTGAACTGCATCACGCAGCAGCCAAAAGGGTGGTAGTTCATAGACCCTTCCAATAACAAGCCGTCGGTGCGGAGATCGATTTGGAACGGTTTTTTTTGGGTGATGGTAGTTGGCTTTTCTCAGGGATCAGGCCTCGATATGGTGCAACAAAATGCCGTCGTGGGTCGACATCTGACATTGCCTCAAACAAAGAACAAAGCTGGGCAAAGCATGTGTCCTTCAACCAAGAAAAATCAAGACCTTTCGATCCAATTGGACAGAGCATGCCTGGAAGCTGAGTGACCTCTACTTTTGGACCAACCACCCAGAATATGCTTGCGACATCCGATCAAAACAGGGGGAGACTGTCTCTGGGTGGAAGTTCTTCATGCAAAGGATTTGCACTCGGAAGTGCCTGGCTTACAACACCTCTTCGGATCTTTTATTTTGAGATCCCGCGGGCCATCAAAGGAACTGGGGGTTTCGCACCTGCCGGCGTCGATGAACCACTCCAACGGATCAGTGAGAGAGGTCCATGACCCAACAACGGGGCTGGAATACTCGAAGATTTCTGCCGTGGACCCCTGAAAATATCTGAACAAGCCACCCATCCATGCACCAGGACATACCAGGACCTTCCCACCGAACGGCTTGGTAAGTGACCTCTTACAGACCTGGAACTTGTGACCTCAGCCGCCACTGGGATCTGGGAGGGTCCTGGTCCACAGCTCTATAGCTCTATCTTCGGGTTCTGGATCAACTTTCCGAAGTTCGGCAGGCTGGAAGGCTTCAAGGAGCTCAAGAAAGGCCTCCCAGTCGCTGACCGAACGAACCGGTCAGCGACTGCACTGTCTCAGACCTAGTGAAGCAAGTCAGCCGGGTCCTGGCAAGTCAGTCGGGGTCACCGGGAAGGTCCTGGTCTTGCCTTCTGACCGGCCTGGTCCGCTTAAGCCTGATCTGACCATGTTCATAGCCTTTTCGTGAACCGAACGAAGGAGTATGAAGTTGGTATCCGTTCGTATCCGTTGGTATCGGGTGTTCGTATACGTTCACGGTAGCGCCCAAGCCGGTGGCTACGTACAGAACTCTGGGTGGGCAGGGTTTGACAAGACTTCGTTGACGCTTTGCTCGATGACCTCCAACCAGCTAGCGATGTTCTCCAAACCAGAAAGTAACCAAGATATATCCATAGTAGCTTGTTGAACACAGAAGCAGTTTGGCACCTGAACACAAGACTCAGCTTTTTTCAGCTCTAGATGGTTGGGTGCCCTGTCACATCCACTCACTGGATGGGATTGAAAACCATTCCTTTAGAACTGCTGGAAGACTTATACTTATCCCTAGGGCTCCAGTCGTACCTCCTCAGAAGGTATGACTGGACCCTCCTGGCATCCACCCCAGTCCCACCTTCTTAGAAGGTGCGACCTTTTCTTGCATCACCGGACACGACATCCATGACTCCTCAAAACATCCGAATGTGGCTCACCAGGGAGACCAACTCGTTGACCTATCAGGTGTCTGGTCGAATTACCTGGTTTACACGGCTCGTGCTGTTTCGAACGACTCGACCTCCACTCGATGCCATGACCCCGATCGCCTTGACACGTGTCGACCGCAGGCGATCAAAAGAAGCTCCTCCAGCTCTGGAAGGCCGGTCGACGGCAGGTTTCGACGGCCCCCCCTCTCCCCGGCTCTTCCGCCTGAGTGCTTGGAATTTGGAGGAATCAGATTCTTGTGGGATGGGTCTGCCGAGGTGCTGTTCAAGTCCAAGGGATGAACATGTTCAGAACAGTGCAACAATGGAATTCACCCTGATCAAGATGAAACCCGCTGGCATTTTGCAGATCATGCCATTTTTCAAGTGCATGTCAGGGAAAAAGTAGCCCAACGAAGGCCATGTTCAATGTTTTTAAGGCCTTAGTAGGTCCTCTATTGACTTTGGCCTATTGAGCCCTGCGTACGCATCCAGTCTCTCCGATGAATCGACGCCCCGTTGACACGCGGGAGGGCCCTGGTCGAAACACCTCCGACCTCGCCGAGGGTCGAACGCCGTCGCCCGAACGCCACCGCGGAGTTCCGGGAGGCCCTGGCGAGTCCGGAGGGGAAGCCGTCGAGCAAGCGGAAAGCCGAGATGGAGGGGAAGGCGCCTGACCGATGTGGGCCGAACCTGGAGTAGCGCGAGACGGGGAGACGGGTGTGGATTAGATAGATCCCTGTTACAGATATCATTGGAGTTCCGGCGGTGGAGGTTCAGGAAGAAGGACCATTGACCACGACCCATTGGTGGGGTTTTCTCATGTTTACCCTATTGAGATACAAACCCAGACAGATGAATCAATGACTCCACCGCTGGTGAAGGGTCGTGTAGTGAGAAAGCGTAGTTCAAGCGAGAAAGATGAATGAAACTGTTTGGTTTAGTTCGGGGTCGACTTACATGTTTCATGATGCGGTGACATCGAAAGAAGAAATCGACTCTCAGCAGGGCGCCGGTCAAGTTGCCTTCGGATCCAGGCGCTTTCTTTTTAGCTCGCCCTGGCCCTCATGTCAATTCCCACATTGGATGGTTTTGTTGGGGAGGATGCAGAATGTGGCGGGCCCCACGTGTGGGTTCCGAAGATGAGAGATCCATATTGTTCCGCAAGGTCAAGAGTGTAAGCCAATGAACTCTTTGCGTCAGCTTTGCAGTTTGTCAGGCTATACCAGCTGCCTGGACCACCCCGCCCACTAGTTATAGGTCTCCAGCCATTGGAGTGCTTGGTAGTTGGCCAGATCTGCCCGTGCTGGATGGCTGAAAACATGTGATGCTTTGAGATTTGCTTGAACGACAACTTCCCAAAGACCTCAAAAGGGCCGGTTGCAGAGGTCAATCACTTTCCCTAGGGCTCCTGGCGTACCTCCTTAGAAGGTATGCCACCTTCTTAGAAGGTGTGGCTGGAGCGCTAGGCTTTTTATGTTCATCTCTAGCGCCCTGTCGTTCTCCTTTCATGTCTACCTCGTGCCGCTGCCAGGTCGCAAAGAAGCCTGCGAGCAAGATCTCAGCCATCACATCTGCCCCACTGCAGCATTTGGTCCACCTGGTGTGGAAAGCTCATTTTGGGGCATGGGTTGCATCAACTTTTCCATTCGGATAAAAGAATTGATCACATATGATCTACAGTAATCTAATTATGTTTATCTAATTGATTGCCTTGCGAGCTTCTCTCACTTGAGGAGTTTCGGGGGGCGAGGGCGGCCTGCACAAGTTAAATGGTTTAGACGACATCAAATCATCACCGATTTGAACCACATGGAGCTATGCTTGCTTGACATGTGGGGTTGGATCTTAAAAAGGTCTTTGATAGAAAGTACATAGCGCAGGGTGAAAGCTCAAAGATCAAGCAAACTTTGGAGTTTAATGGAGTTTATGTGTTTTGATGTGTTTTGATGTTTTCTATTTTTATTTTTTTTTTGTGTGTTTTTTGTTGTTTTCTTATTTTTTTTGGTGACGCGTACACAATGATGTTTTAAACATTCTGTTCAAACCCTTGTTCAAGATCCGTGATTCACGGCTTGCGAAAAGCATCTCACGTTGGGGTAACCGATTGGTCGACGGTTCCCTTTTTGGACGGTATCACTTCTCCACTTGAAGGTACGCCACGGATCGGCAGAGGTTATGTCACAGTCGTACTATGCAGACCATGTGACACTCTCCCACAGGCACACTTCCTAGCGTCCTAGCACTTTTAAGTCTTCAAAACCCACCAGGATCTTCCACGTTCGGTCGTTTTTGGACACCCCGAATCATCTCTAAGAGGCTATTTGTTGACACCTACCTTTAAGGGCCCTTGGCAAAAGACGGCTTGTTTGGGACACCACCAGAGTACTTTGTGAAAGATCAGCAAGAGTTTCACCAAGTCCCGATGAGCAAACTTGACCCCCCTGCTACTTTACCATACTTTACCTTGTTTTGGTCACGAAGCTTCGTGGATGTTGGACTTAAAAGGGTGTGTTGCAGCCTCCTCTAGGATACCAGGATACCGGATACCCCGCAATGTTTGTCACACTGATACTGCAACTGCAGCTTCCTTCGAAGCCTCGAGTGTGGCTTCCTACTCGCAAAGGTGTAGCTGTAACGACACAGAACTCAAGCTTCAGCGCATATCATACTGCAACACGCGCAGTCACTACTGTAACTTGACATGACAACCAACGAGCTTTGCCAAGGTTTATGCACAGAGACAGAGAGAATGACACACTAGTTCGGTACCTAAGCGCTCAGACGCTACATGCTGAGGTGCAAGGTGTCCTGACCAGCGCACAGTGCCTTGAAGAAACATTTGGCCATGGGGAGAGCCTCCAGGTGTAGGCTGAAGGTGCTGAACGTAGGGTTGCCTGAAAGTGCGAATGTTCCGAGTTCACCACCGAAGCTGCTCCCACCACCGAAGCGATGAAGAAAGTATTTAAACTAATTGTTCATGAATCACCGGTTTCACTGGAAGAAACGCACCGCTTGAAGGTACCAGTGATTCATGTTTTGCAAGTTGAGGTATCAGGAGTTCCAAAGAGGCGCTTTTTGGTCCCATCCAGTGAGTGGATAGTGGGTACCCAGTTGCGTACCCCTATCCTCCAAGTTTGGCACCCATATCCGTGGAACTACTTGTAGTGGTATGCTCGCTCCTTCTTGTGTCCGTATTCTCATGCTCAGTCAGTAGGTCTGACGATGGCCCAACTGCTGAACGTCGCCCTTCGCATGACATTCGCTTCTTTTGGCAAATCTCTTTGATGGGGCTCGTTCGATATGCTTCGAACCATCGATTTTTGCACGGGCTCGGCCTTGACGACCGAGGGCATGGAGTGAAAACTGAGGTTTAAGAAGGTGCAGGCACTTGAAGCCGACCTGTCATCCTCAACCAACCACGCACTCCTTGGAGAGCTCAGCCGCTTGGCTCCTCCCGATCGGTTTGCGGAAGATGGCATTTGGTTGAAGCTGCTTTGTGTGAGTGCATTGTTTCTTGCGTGCGGGCATGTTCACATTTTTCCCAAGCAACGTGTGTAACAACAAACACAGCTGTTTCAAGATGCAGCAATCATGAAGCCACAAGCAGCCACTCCAACAGCTTCTTCTTTCCATCCGGTTTCACATCTGTTGGAGTCCTTGAGCCAGCTCATGAGCCAGTCGGCGCACCGTCTGAAGTGGGGGTTTCTTCCGGTCTCACCGCGGTGTGTGTTTTTGGGGCCCAAAGAGCAGCCTGGGTCGGTGGATGGAGTCGACCAGTTCGTTGGGCCGATCCCTGCGCGGTCGATGGTCGACCGTCAGGAAAGAACGACCAGCCACGGACCGGCAAGAAGGAGCCCGGGCGGGGTGGTGGTGGTCGTTGGGTGGGTGGTCGTTCGTGAAAGACGTGGTATGTTGAAGCGCCGGCAGGGGCGTGTATTTGAAGCTGGCCCAAGGTGGCCCAATCATTGACGGGTCTTCGTTGATTGTGGGCCGTTGCCTGGGAGGTCTCCCTATTTTAATACACAACCCAAATGCTTTAGAGCTGCTCTAGCTTGATCCTGACATGAATAAAAAAGGACATGAAGTCTTGAAGTGATTGAGACCTAGTTGGATAGTTATGCTATGTTGTGCTATCATTGGTGCCCTGCGACAGACCGGCAAATTCCCCGGCAAGACGTCACATGGGTGTACATCCTTTGTGATGAGACATGGCCACATGGCGTACATTTGGCTATTCCCCTTCTAAGAAGGTGAAACTGGGGGTGGGTGCCATGTTCGGGTCCAGTCATACCTTCGGAGGTATACTTACTTGGACCCCTTAGGGTATAGGAGTGCCACCTCAAAAGACATGGCGGGATGGGGAGCCCCACATGGAGCCCCAAGTAGCTTGGGCAGGAGGAGTTGGTCTCGCGCGTGGCGGAAGGGCGAGTGCTGGGAGCTCTACCCAGCTGTCCCAAGTGCAAACATGGCCAGGTGGGAGTCCGGTGTTGACCGGGTTTCTGCACAGAGGTGGAACTGACCTAGTTACAAATCTGCAGGAACTCATGGTGAAGTGTTATTTTCGAGGCCTATGATTCGAGGATGCCTTACATGCGTGTTCCACTTCCATCCAGTTGCATACAAGATCACTGACCGGGTTATTTGGAACATCAAGCGACATCGCGTTGGCCCTTTGTGCGGTTTGTGTGGATGTCCGGAGCAAGTGAAACTTGCTCCCAGGACCCAGGATATCCTTCACAAGAACTAGGCTATGCAAAACTTTTCCTCATACCAAATAGGTGGTTTTCCAATGTTTTCCACTTCCATCATTGCTTCAGGGAGTGTAGCTGCTTTGAAGCCTTCGACCTCAAATCATCATCCTGATCATCGTGACCAGGGGGTTCCGGATGATGAACGTGACCCTAGGAACCCTAGGTGAAAATCAACCCTCTTTGGGATGCAACCTCTGGATCCGGCCACTCTCAAAACCTCGTATTTCAGGTCGGTCCCCTCAGGTCAACGGGAACAGTTGAATCCACTCTTTTGACGTTTTGCCGATGCCTGGCAAAGCTGGTACTTCACTGGGCCAATTCTGCATGGCCTTCGGGGCGTTCTGTGTGTGGATCAAGTGTCTCGTTCACAAGCATTTGCCGGGAGTCTCGTGATCAGGTCAGACTTCAGAAACCAATCATCTGCATTCATTTGCCATGTTGCGTCATACTCTCCGGACCTCTCGTTGTCAGCCAACTTGACCTTTTCCATCTCAGCCGCCTCAAGACTTCCCCCCTTCTCCATGCCCCAGATCCACTGGAGCCGTCTTGGAGGCCCGTGGGATCAGTCTGAGCGTCGTCGTCCAGGTCTTCGACTCGATGCAGTCCGGAGCGGATCGAAGCGGATGGTGCCATGGCCCTTTTGGAGGATCCTTTTCATACCGAATAGGTGGTGCCATGGACCTGGCATGAAGAAGGGTGTACCCCCCAGGTGAACAACTGTTCGTTCGGGTGGTAGGCATCCACTTCATGGGTCGTTCGGCGAGGGGAACCACCTGGACCAACCATCCACTCCTTTCTTCCGCCCCATTTGACGAAGATGGTCACCGTGCCACAAAAGCATTGACCTAAAAGAGGTGACATGGACAGTCTCTATACTTATTCTTATATATATATATATATGTGAGCCTAATTGTAATACTATAAACAGCGTGGTTTACATGCTCATGTCAAGTATTGGACAAATGGTCACTCTAAGCATAGATCTCGGACACCACCCAGATTTGGCTACTCGGCGCCCCATCCAAGTGCCCCCAAAGTGCCATAGAACGGTGCTCAAAGGTCACACAGCAAGGGCTGGTTCCAACCATCAGATCGCCAGTTTCATTCAGTTGGGGTGTCGAAGGAACGGCGCAGTTCGGTGCGTCGGTGCGTCGCCCCTGTCGACAGCCGACGACGACGAAACGGAACGACATGGAACTGGAGCGGGCGGGAGTTCCGCACCCTCATGGCGGCTGAGATGATGGGGCGGGCGCCGGTTGGGTGAGACAAGGAGATGGGATGCCGTCCAAAACCATTCCCGTTTGGCCTCCAGTCGTACCTCCGAAGAGGTGGGCCGCCCGACCCAAAAGGTTCAGGTGGCAAACAAGAGCCTCGGTCCGTCTTCGACCTCGTCTGGTCGTCTTCCGCCTCGGCCACTCGGCCTCACTGTCCTTGTTCGGGGATCGAACCGACGGACCGACCTTCGAGGCCGGGTCGGGTCATTGGCGAAGACGAAGACCGGTCGATCGACCGGAGCGACGTGGGCCAGGCTGGTTTAGCTGCCCGGGCTACTACGACAGAGATCTGAAGACCACCCGGCGGTGTTTCTTCCGCTCGAAGGACTGGACGGACTGGGGTTTTTCAAAGGAAGGAAGAAGGAAGCATCTGAAAAGCTGTTTCCCCTATATGGTTCCCCCTATATTAAGGTGCCAATTAACAGATTCAGATTCATACAGATTCTGATTCTGAAAAGCTTGGAGATGCTTGGATGGTGAAACATTTCAGTTCTGGTCACTATACACAGACTCTTTATAGGTGACCCCCAGTGTGCCGAACAGAAGTGTCATTGACTTTTGGTGGGGCCAAGCTCGTTGAGCTGGACTTCTCTGTAGGGTATTGGCAGAGTTTGTTGACTGGGTGATCTTTGTCCCACAATCTTCACAATCTGCAGAGTTTTGTCTTCGAGAACTTTGACTCTCAACGGTGCGGAAAGATGAACAATGAACACCAATAAGTTTTAGCAGGAGTTTAGTCTAGGTTTTGACTGGTCGACCTTTTGTGCTGACACGTGATCTGAGGCCCCATGTTTCGCGCTTAGAAAATTCAATGATCTTCGAGTAAGCAGAAGGGATCTGAGTATTTTGGACCATTTCAGAACTTCTCAAGAGTCCACTTCTGTTTGCTGGTGCATTTTTGGACCATTTTGGGTGCAGCTCAGAGCTTGTTCCGCTCTGCCGGCGAATTCTTTCTCCGCCACGCCCAAAAGACGACGGCATAGCTGGCCCCAGTCGTTGCGTGACCTGCCGCCGGTTCCCAGGTCTGCGCAGGTTTGGCAGACCTGTGAGCTCATGAAACCCCAAATGTTGGAATCCCTCTCCAGTCTCTCCAGTGGTCCGTGGAGCCCACCTCTTGAGAAGCTGTGCGGTTTGGGATGAGCTTGGTGAGAATGGGATGGATTCAACAAGAACACATTGTAGTGCGGGGTGGACGGTGTTTCCAAGGTGATGCCAGGTGATACCTGCATTTGAGAAGCAATCCATATTGTATACGGCCCATTAAACTGCCACTGCGGTTTTGTATGCGCAGGAGATGAAGAGGAAAGAATGGAAGAAGTGAACACGCGTGAGGATATTTTTGCTGTTTGCTTCATCCTTTTCATCCTTTTCCCAAGCAAGATCAAGAAAGCATCCTCTGGTATCCTCTGGTTATCGGGGGAGTGTGCTTCTGCCCAAGTGACACTGGAAGTGATGGAACAAAGTGGGATCTTGCGAGAAGGATGAGTTGTCCAAAGTTGGGTCCATGCTTGCAAGAAGCATCCCAGACACGACCGACGGGACTGGAGTATTGACCTGACCCAATGTCTGTAAAGCTAGAGTCAGTGACTGACACCTGGTTTGATAGGAGAGGACCATATTAGAGTGGTTGGTGGTGACCTCACTCAGATTATAGACTATAGACGAAAGATGCACAAAGATCTAACGATCGATTCGAGATCGTCTTTCTATAGAAACGAATGATTATAGTAGTTACGTAGATCACCAAGAACACTAATTCTGCCCCCGAAAGTGGATGAGATGGTGACCAGAGGAATATGCCAGTCCCCTGGAGTGTCTGTGTCTGGACCTTGGTTTTGGGGCCCTTTTGTCTCGGTACCTTGCACAGATCTCTCCGCGTGGGTCTTTCGCTATCCCACTCGCAGACCGACAGAACGGAATCACCGCCAGAAAGCGATCACCAAAACCTCGAGATTGGAGATTGGGGACGCCCCACCGAGTTTGGGCCATTTTTGACCTCGAGTTTGGGAAACTGGAGTCACGGCGTTGACATCGAACAGCGGGAGATCGGCGTTGACCCACTCGATCGCCAGCATCGAGCATCGAACACTCCTGCGCTTCGCACGGTTCGTCCCGCACGAGAGCGTGTCCGTCGCGGGACCGGCCATGAAGCGAGCCCTACAGCCGTCAAGTCCGAAGTGTGGGAGTCCAAAAAGCTCCGTTGCTCAACATCCATCCAGAAACCAAGATCCAGTTCCATGGAGGACAGGGTGCCGACTCCATGGAGGTTAGCTCAGAACGTCCACGATCACTGGATGGGACGAGGCACACCACCCCTTTGTAACTTCTGGATGGTGGGAGGGTGTGTGCACCTGAAAACCCACACGAGATGCGGCCGTCCCTGATTCTTTTTGTGGGTGAAGCATGCATTCCGGAGCACGACCATGTTTTGCAGCATTTTTGGGAGCGCGGGACTTTTTGTGGCAGGGTCTTGCCAGAATGTGGCTCAGGAGTCTGACATTTGAGAAAGGCCACGAAAATATACGAAAATCTGAATCAAATGAATCCTTTCTTCCTTCTCCCCCAAACAGCTCCATAGATCGATCCTGACACCCAGAATTGAAGCGAACAGACGAAGAGTCGACGTTCGAGTCGAGGAACCCCATCACCGATCGATGCCGGAGTTGTCGGAGTTCCTCGGGTGACTTCCGGTTGGTCCCCCTGGATGGCCAGTGGATCCCAGGAATGAACTCGGCGGAGATCCAGTTTTAAGGAAGGTGGCCATGGAACTCCTCGATGTTTACTTCCATCCTGTGACCAGATGTTCAAAACATACCAGGTGCTTCCAACGGGTCACCAATGGACAACCCTACCCTACTTACAGGTCTCCATTGGGCACCCGTTGGAAGTGCTAGGTATACGTTAAATCGCTACAAAGACAGATTCACTTGGCAACAGGATTGGGTCTCCGCGCCCAGGCTCGAAGAACTGGAGCTGAGGCGAAGAGGACGCGCGTCTCGGCTGTGGATGAGTGGCGTGGCTGATGAGTTGGGTGCATTCGCAAGAACCTGCGCATGATCATTTGGGTGGCAGGACGTTCTCTTGTGGCTTATAATGAGTTGGGTGTTTTATCCGTTTATTTTATTTTTTTTTCGATTACTGTAATATGGTTTGTTCGCTTTTTTTTTTTTGCAGCGCTTTAATACACCTAACCCAAATGACATTCTATTCTCTTTGTCACAGGCGTTGGGCACAGGAAGCTCCACCAGAAAAGCAAAAAGCCACGCACGGTTCTGGCGGGGTTTTCAAGCTTTCGTTGAAACCGAAGCAGTGTAGTTACCTGTATAGTTCAGTGGCTGGACTAGGTATATACATCCCTCTACGCTCCAGTGGATTAAACCTGACATTGACATGGTCAGCAATTGAAAGCACCCTAATCTTTGCTGGATTTCCCAATCCTTTCTGGCCCATCCGACCTCGGATTCGGCACATGAAAAAGACAGAAACCACTCAAAAAGAACGCAATTGTTTTAGCGGGTTCCAGACTGAGGACGACCGCTGCGCGCGACTGGAGCTGCCCAGCGAGCTGCGGCAGCACGCTGGACAGGAGCGGCTCGACGAGCGAGACCGCGGAGCGATGCCGTCGAGTGCCCAGGTGTGGAGAAGGTCCAGAGATGGAGAAGGACCTTGCCAGTTCTAGGATGTTTGGAGTCATCAATTACTGTCTTCAATTAATGGTCGGGTGCACCAGCACTCGGCGCCACGGCGCCCCAATCAAGCACCTCCAGCTCCAGCCAAACGCTCCACAGCCCAGCGCAGCACGGCCGCCGCGTGACGAAGCCTTCGGCCTTCACCTCCAGGCTGCCGATCGTCCCGGCAGCACGTTGGATCCAAGCGTTACCCATCGGCATGATAACAAGCTCCGCACGAGAGCCTGGAGTAGCGGAGTACATCACCATCCTGCGCGTCTGGCTCTTCATTGACCGTTGACGCTCCCGGATCTCGCTCCAAGGAGCGATGATGCTGTCGTTCTTGGGTGGTGCCCGCAACACTTGTTGTCTATCCTTTTGACGTTGCACAGATGTGGGAACTTCTCTCCATGACAGGAGTATAGTGCACAAACCAGGTGTTGAGTTGAAGATGTAGATCCAGAGTTCTAGGTCTAGAGGTGGAGAGAGATTTAAGAAGTCTAGGGCTTTGCCCGTTTGCACCCCATTTTCCGCTCCCATCATGGCAGCCTGTGAGGAAGACCTTCTGGGAGGAGCTGGTGGCCACACTGCCACTCTGTTTGAGGCTTCGGCCCATGCTGAGGTCCTTGAGGTCCTTCAGCTCACCAAGGAGGCCACCAATCAGCTTTGCATCAAACGTGTCTCCACTCGCCTCTCGTGGCCATGCTATGCGGTTTGGTGCTGCGCAGCAGCCCGCCTGGAGATCATCATCTCCCGATGGTGCGCTGTCAGGGGCAGACATCACAGTGGACTCCTCTTTTTCGAGAGGGCCACCCTCGTTCGGCCGCCCATTGCTTCGGCAGTTTGAGTTTGAGCCGGTTGGATATCTAGCGGTCCAGAGAGCACACAAATGAAAGGACATGTAAAAGCAACACGCATTTGATAGCGCACATATGACATTCGCTGCGCCTCCCACAAAATCTGCACTTCAAGGTTCACAAAGTGTCCACCTTGGCTTGGATGCCCTATCATCCATTCCATGGGCGGGGCTAAGCACGGAGCAACCAATCAACATGCCCTTTCTGTGGCCGCAATGCCCCCTGATGCATTTCACTGCAGTGGGTTGGTGAGAGCTTTTCTGAAACATGGTTTCTTCATGTAGGTGCCAAAAGCACCACCGGATAATCTAAGTGTTGGACGTGCTTTCTTCGTGTGTTTCTTTTTGCAGCGCCGGAAATATTTAAGTGGACTAGTGTTGAAACTATTATTCAGGAAATTTCTTAAGTGTTTTCTTGCATTGAGGGGTTCTCTATGTCCGTGAGGGTCCAGTCGACGAGTCTGAAAATGGTCTCGGTGACCACTTCCTGTTCGTACTTTTTGGGACGTCTAGGGTTTGGGGAAGAACCCATTCTTCCTATTGATGCAAATCTCCCTAATTAATGCATATATATATAGCGACGGAGTGAAAGATAGAATGACCGTTTGGCACCGCGCGGGGATGAAGATAGAGACCGGGATTGCACGACGGAGCCACACATTCCATCTGTTGAAGATAGAATGCGTCCATAGTAGCAAGAACACATGTCCCTGAACCCTCCGTAGATATACAAAGGATGCTTCAGGTCAAGTAGAATATAGTAGAATCAAAGAACTTGGAGCTTTAGTCCATAGAACAAAGTGGCATTTCTGGCTGTATCTGGCTGGATCGGGGTCACTTTAGAGAGAGAGAGAGAGCTAGCGAAAGCATGTATCCGGCAAGTTAAGTGAGTTGGCAAGTGACGGGGTCTCACTCCAGAATTCCCTTCTGAACAGCTGGTATGTTCCTTCCCACTTGTATGCCTACCACGTGGCAACCGCGTGCAATCCCGGTCTCAAGCGGTCATTCTATCTTTCGTCGCTAAAAACATATTGAAACCCAACATCGATGGATCTGCAAAGATCCTCCAAGTGGTTTTGAGTCAAAAAGGAAAATAGTCACAAATATTCACAAATCATTGCAGTTGGCAGTTCATGGCAGTTGTCTTTGCGCCGCCTTCCATGGCTGTGGTTGGCTGGGATGTGGAGTCTGAGTGCACACAAACTTCAAGTCTACAGTTTATGCATGCGTTTTGATCAAACGCATGGAACCGTTGAGCGACTTCATTACCAGCCTGGAATGACTGTGCACTGGCGGTGTGAACTCTTCCGGCAAGCCTTGATTTGGAGTCCTTTCAAACAAGTTTGCAAGCACCAGCACAAACCAAACATTATGTACACACATCTTCTGCCCACATATGTACTCATGCGTGCAGTTCTATGGGCATTCTATCTGTGGAATGACTGTGCACTGGCGGTGTGAACTCTTCCG